GATAGGAGATTTTTATGTATCTCCGCATTTAATGCGCGCAGTACGACTGGCTCTGGGTAATGATTAATTAGATCTCGCTTATTCTCTCGCATCCGTTCGGCAGCGGCTCGATCCCAGAGGCATCCGGTTTCTTTTTTCTCTTACCACCAGTCGTTCGATCTGTACCACCAACAGGCGGACCTAGGCAGGGGCTCGTAGGGGCACGGGCCCCTGTGTAATTTTTTTTTAAAAAAAAATAGTACATATAATTATATTGTAAATTAATTATAGATATGTTTTCTTAAAATCAAGTTGTTTACATTTTGTATTTATTTATATTGTAGGCAACATATATAAATGGGTTACATCGATTTTCCACAAAATTCAACATTGATTTTGATGCACATTGAATTTTAGGTGTTCTTAAAATTATAATTACTTACAATTAGCTACTAAATTGTTTGTCATTGATTTTTTAACCAATAAAATTTTTATATTTATTATAAAGAAGTCTACGAATGCTAACGCCTAAGAATATCCAACGCAATATATATACATATATATATATATTGGTATGTAGAAAGTTATTTTAAAAAATTTGAATTTATGTCATTATGAGTGATATAATATATAAAAACATGAAGAGAATAAATATGATTTTTTTCCAACTTTGTAAAAATTACATTTGTGCCCTCGATCTTCCGAGGCTGCGTCCGCCCTGAGTCTTTAGCCCTTTGTATCCAGAGACTGGATATCCTTACCTTGCATTTTTTTTTTTTTTAATGCGCACGGGTGAGGAGAGGACGAATTATTAAAGAAAAGATGAGGAAATAGAAGGCGTGGGGGTTTTGTTTCCCGCCACGTACGACGCTCCATGTGGGCCCAATAGGCGCCTATTTTCCTGCCGACCGTTCCCCCACTCTGTTTTTTCCAAAGATCAATAAAATCCGACCGCCCACCTTTTTATTCTAGTTGATTGATGGTCAAGTTAGTACCAAATTCCTTTTCAATAATATCATTCTTAATTAGAAATAATGGCGAAACTAGAATCCCGTTTCGGAAGAATCCAATTTGTCTTTTAAAAAAAATTCATGACAAAACCAAACACAAACACAAATTTTCTCCGATCCAGCTTCCCCTCCATGGCTCCATGCCTCCCTGCTCAGCTGCTCTGTGTTTTTGGATTCCAGATTTCCGGTGGCACCCCTCCGGCCATCTCGCGGCGCACCACCTCCACTCCGGCATCGAAAAAGCGCTCAAAGGGCGCCCTTCCAGTTCCAGCAAAATCCCCCACCCCTAATTCGAATTTTTTTTTTTTTGGAAGGACCGGCGCCTCTCCTATTAATATTGTGGTTTCGCCCCTGATTAGAAAGTAGGTTAAATTAAAGTATAACTTACAAATCCCTCTTCCTAAAATATATATATATATATATAAAAAATAAAATAAAAATCTTTTGTAAGTGTAACAACAAAATTCCTCCCCTCAAACTATTCACTGATTCGAGCAAATCGCTGGTTAAATTTTGTCGAATAGTCTTTGATCGAAAAGGTCAAAGGACTAAAGGTGCTTTTGTTTATAAAAAACTTAATTCATACTCAAAATTTAACTCACCTTTATCTCAATTCCACTATTATGGTCGTTATTTTGTTACTCGTGTTTTTTAGCTTAAGTCGTGTAAACATTTTCCTTAAATGTTTGTGTTTTCTTTTGTTTGGTTTAAGTGATAACGGAGTTGTTTTACTTAGTATCGAACGACGTCGTTTATGATCAATACATTTTCATGTAAACGTATATATATGTTCTACGTTCATCTTGTAAAATTAGATTTTTTCTTTTAGCTAAGAAACAGAACCATAAAAAATGGAGATTTTTCTCTTCAAAAATTCTTTCGAATTCAACAAATATTTAAAAAAATGAGTGATTTTAACTAATAAAAATACAAATAATGAGCAAATTAATGAAAGCATTGCCTTTTGTTACTTCATTCCAAAAATTAAGATTGTTGTTGGGTGTTCTTAGGGTTTTGCAGATCCATTCAAACTCAAGCCAACTAATCATGTGAATATACATATTTATTTAATCAATGTAAAAGGACACAATCCCTTAGTTTTTTTTTTTTTTTTTTTTTTTTTTTTTTTTTTATTTCCTTCTCAAGATGATAATGCCAAGGGCACTTTAGGACAGTCAGTCTCAAAATGATAAATGAAATTAAATTTGACAAGACAAAAATATGGACAAAAATTAAATGCAAGTCATAAGAGTGCAATTTCATAATACATCCAATGACCCACATTAGGTATACTTGAACCACAATTAGAAAAATGCAAGTCATAAGAGTGCAATTCATAGCAACTCATAATTGCATGCATAAGTATATTAAACTAGTACAACACCCGTGTATTACACGGGTGCTTGTTAAAAAAATTATCTTAAATTTTAAAATTAATGAAAAATTATATTAAATTTAGTTTACATTTTTTACAAAAAAAAATATATTACTATATATTTTAGAATGATATGTGTTACTTATGACTTACATGTGTTATATTATATTTATTTTTATAATTTATATCATATAACTACTTGAAATATAAATATATTAGTTGATAAATAATTTTATTTTTCTAATTAATATTAAAAATAATTTTATTATTGTCATAAAGATAAATATAAATTATTTTTTTTTATACATACAATATGGATGTTAAATCGAAGCTCATCAAAAGAAGATTAATTTGATATATTACTTATAAAAAATACAAAAGTTATTAACTTTTAAAATATATATACAATTTAATAGTTATAATAAGGAATGATATTAAAATGCAATTAATACATGTAACATGACCATAAATAATCAACATATTTATGGTAATCCGAACTGATATAGCCATACTGCTGCATAACGGTTAAATAACCATAGCGGTTCGAAACTATCAAGTCGACTTCAACACAGTCGGCTCCGCCAGTAAGGTTCCACGACATTCAGTCAGGAATCTCGGCTCTCGACCGAGTCAACGTACACCCGTCGACTAGAATAAGTCGACCCCTGGCAAGACAACGATCAGACGTATCAGGGTCCAGTAATTGTCGAATACGATCCAGTCGACTCGACTCAATATCTCGGGTCGACTGAAGGAGTCTTGCGGTTCATGGTTCTTGATAGCTTTGACACACTTCAACGTATTGAGGAAGAGTTAAGGATAAGAAGGAAGCTAAGGAAGGATCTAGATGCTGACTAGGAAGTAGGCGGAATATGAACCGACCGGGGTATTCTGGACATTTCCCTTAAGTCGGCCAGGGCATTTTGGGGACTTCAGGTATATATTGTACTCCTATATAAAGGACTGAGGTAATCCCAAAACCCTAACTCCCATTCATTCCATACATTTCTATTACTGCTGCTGTTCTGATAGCAGCTCCCATCATCTCTCTCACATACTGACTTGAGCGTCGGAGGCTCTACGCCGGAAAAACCCTCCGGCGTTGAGTTCTTGCAGGTGTTCGTACGATTCAGCAACGGCTCGAAGGTCATCAGGCCAGATCTAAGCTCGTTCATACCGGTTCATCCCGGATCCGGACGTTTTCTCACCAAACCGTTCCAGATCTGAGAGCAGACCCATCACGAACCTAATTATTTTTGGTTTGGAATTAAATTAAATTTACCCAAGCCTAACAACGAAGCATGTAATTTTGCCACATAGGATTTCGAAGCACCAGAAGCAGCCACGTAGGCTCAGCGCGTTCTGGATTAATATATCCTCCCTATATATATATAATTCCCGAATGCGCTGAGCCTACGTGGCTGTTTCTGGTGCTTCGAAATCCTATTTGGCGAAGAATCATGCTTCGTAGTTAGGTTTGGATAAATAATATTATATATTAATAATTAATAATCTAGGTCCGGGCATTCCATAAATATTATTTAGTTATCTTAGGTATTTTAATATCAATTGTACTAATATAACGCTTTAATTCTTTGTAATTGTAGATAGTGAGTTACTATGTGACTAATATATCTCTGGCTTTTGATTTGTTTCCTACAATTAGCTATTAAATTGTAAATGTATTTTAAAAGTTGATAACTTTTGTATTTCTTATCGGTTTTACATATATAATATATTAAATTAATCATCTTTTGATGATCTTCGATTTGATATCCATATTGTATATATAAAATAAATAAATTATATTTATCTTTATAATAATAAAAAATAATAATATTTATTAAAATTCATTAGAAAATAAAATTATTTTGAATTGATATATTTATGTTTAATGTAGTTATATGTTGTAAGTTACAAAATTATTATAATATAACACAAGTAAGTCGCATAAATAAAACGGGTCATACTAAATATAATAATATTAATATTTTTAAAAGGTACTTAAATTTTCAACTACATTTTTTCAGTAATTTTAGATTTTAAGAAAAAAAAAATTAGCAAGCACCCGTGTAATACACGGGCGTTGTACTAGTAGGGGGATTAAAGAGAAATACTATGGTCCCGTTACAGTACCATTCCGTCGGGTGTTTAAACCGCTGATACACATGTAGTTAGTATAAGACAAATGATCCAACAATTAAAACACTCGACAAGATGGTACCGTAACAGGACCGTAGCATTTCCATTAATAATCCATTATTATATATCAATCAATTATCATAGGGTCCAGGTTGGTTAGTGCAGGTCAAAATCCAATTCTTGTCTCAGCCTTATTCAAATCCCATAAGCCAAATTAGAAAGAATCAAAAAAAAAAAAAAAAAGCCACCACCCAAAACCCCACTAGAACACCACTACAAGAAAAAAGCAAAACCAACAACTTTTTCCTGAATTAAACTCCATTTTTCTTAAAAATTTTCATTTCAAGAATCAAAGAATAACTTTGTCTCCACATCTTTTCTTCTATTTGCTAAACCTCCACAGCACAAAGTAAAACCAAAGCCAAAGCCAAAGCCAACACCCCTTAAGTTTTTTCCCCATAATCCATAATATTCAACAGCACACCTCTGCAGACATGGTGCAGAAAAAAGCTGATGATCATATTATTCATGCTGCAAAAACCAAAAACCAGACACAACCCCAGGATTTCAAGAACATGAAGACGAAGAAGATGAAGAAAACGGGACCCACGAAGCCGCCCGGAAAACTGTGTTCGGCCGCCGCCGCCACCCCAAACTACATGAAGTCCACCACGAGCTCCGATGCAAGACACGAGGTGAGTACGAAGAAAAGCCCACGTCGTGATTTACGCAGCATAAAAATTCCGAATAATTCCAAGTTCGCCTTGCCCTTCTCTGCTAAAAATAATAATAATCACAAAGCAACAAAAACGAAAATGGTGAGGAGTCTTGTGAAAAGTCCTAGCTTCAAACCTGCGAGAGCTTCTTCGTCGGCGATCAAATGTTCAAATTTGCAAGCCCGGCGAGCGACATGCTCGTCAACGATGAAAGACAGTAAATTTCCGGCCTATCTGAGTCTGAATGCTGGAGGCACTGAATCAGAAGGGATTTCGATTATCAAAGTCTGCCCGTACACTTATTGTTCGCTCAACGGCCACCATCATCCGCCACTAAAGTGCTTCGTGGCAGCAAAAAGGCGCTTGATCAAGGCACAGAGGAGTCTAAAAATAGGATGTCTATCTCCAAGACGGGCAAATGGCGGTGTTGTAAAAGAAGCGGGCAGTTTTGAACAGGATATTTTAGTTGAAATATTCAGCAACAAAAATAAAGATTCTGAAAATAATTCAAGGGATGGAATAATGGAAGACAAGGATGACGAAGAAACTTTTATGGAGAAAATTTGTGAAGTTGATGCTATTGACGAAGAAGGAGATACGGTTTCGATGGAAGCCAAAGTTGAGGAAGGAGCTTTTTCACCACTTTGTGTTGAGGAGGCAAAAGGAGTCTTGAGTGAGTTACCTGGAGAAAATGTAAAATCAGTGGAACAAGATACTGAAGCCTCTGATATGGAGTGGGAAAAGGACCATCACTCGCTTCTTTATCTCGACATTGATTATGAATCTGGTTATCCTGAGGCAGGTAAAGGTTTCGAAACTGATGAGCTCATGATTGAAAAGGCCTGGTACAAAAATGGGTGTTTTGATGAATTTTCTGTGGATGAATTGTCACAAGAGTCCTTCGATGACAACGAGTGTTTCAATTCAAGAGCATTCGATGATGACGACAGTAGTGAATCTACTCATTCATATAACATCATCATCAAGAGTTCAAACCCCATTGAAGTCCCAACAGAAGAAGAAGAAGAAGATGATGATATGAGCAATAATAATACGATACTGAATCAATATTTTCCAGTAGAAAACCATACTCAGAATCAAGAAAACCTGGTGGAGAATATCATTAATGATGAAGCAAAAGAAGAATCTGAGTCAGAGGCTCTCCTGCCGACGCCTGCTACTTCTCACTCAGATGGTGAAATGATTGTAGCCATTACCAAGCGCGAGAGGCCTAGAGAAGATGATAATGCAGATGAATGTGAGGTGTTCAATCCACGGGCCCCCAATTTCCTGCCAATGGAGCCCGACCCGGAAGCAGAGAGGGTGGAGCTGAAGCACCAAGAAGTCGAGGAGAGGAAAAATGCAGAGGAATGGATGGTGGATTACGCTCTGAGGCAGACAGTAACAAGACTGGGCCCTGACCGCAAGAGGAAAGTTGAACTGCTTGTCGAGGCCTTTGAAAAAGTGATGCCTCTCAAGAAATGCCAAGTCCACTCGGGGTTTGGCCAAACGAGACCCATGCAGGCCTGCACCTGATATATCTTACTCATTTGCTTTCTATGATATTTCATGTTTAGAGGACTACTTTGATGGTTTGGTATTATTATTATTAGTGTTTCAATGTAACAGACAAATTAACCTTCGAGGTTGCTTGATTGTGTGTGATTTAAGGTTTGTTTGAATTTGAGCATCTATGTCCATCAGAGGGTACTCAATTTCTCAAATCAAGTCATAATCCTCAAACCGTAAATCAAGCCAACAACCAAATCATTCCAAGGTAAGAGGTACGAAGTATCCAAAATCATCAAGTCTAAACAAAATCCCAAGTTATCATCAAAACATCGAATTATTCATAACAAAGACTATTATAATATATATGACCACTCTGCAGCTCCCGGGACCAACACCTATTCATCAACCTGAAATTCATGAAATGAAGGGGTACGCTTCTACAGCTTAGTGGGAATATAGAATTACACAGTTATTCAATCTAATAAACAGATATAACAATTATCATATACTTTCGTTACCACATTTGTCCGAAGCCCCGTTAGTGCAGCGGTCTAGATTCGAGTGACTAGAGTTTGAGGCAGTGGAGAAGATGAACAAGAAATGCAGACAGAATTCTCAATGGACTAGCAATTTGTGAGTTGCAGGTGTGAGTCAGGGAGTAAGGCAACAGGATACTACGACCACTACTACAAACTCGGCACCTGGGGCGTTGCTTGTTCAAGGGAAGGCAGTTGTGAAAAACAGGGAGGTGGTCAGATGGAGTGTCCCTAGAGTTCAAAACAAAACTTCAAGGGAAGATATCCTTCTAGCAAACAGGAAATGGCAAGGGAAAAGGATTCAGGTGGTTGGGAAAACATGGAAGTTATTCTTCAAGATAAGATTGGCATGTCTGATGTATGTTAAAATTGATTTTCTATTTATTTATTTATTTATTTTGTGTATGATTGTTGAAAATGTTTTTTTCCTCTTCTGGATTTGTTTTTCTTAGTTTGTTGTTGTAGTTGTAGTTGATATTGCTTGGACCAGTGTGGTCATGTAGGGGGCACTTGTGTAGTGTTCTCCCGGTGGTGTTTTATGTTAGCTAATTGGCTAATAGGGACTCGTTTATAATCCGTTGATTGCTCCGACTGTATGTTTGATTGAAGTCTTTTCTTATTGAAATTTGATGTTTGAGAAAAAAAAAATCATCAAATTTTCAAGAATAAGCTCAAAGCAATCTTCAAAATTAAAACATAAACATAATCCGATAAACTGAATCAAGATTAGCGTTCCAAATCATAATGCCCAAAATCATACCCAAGTTACTCAACACTCATACACACAGGCTAACATAACAATTCAAGTACATTGACTAGAAAAGAGATGAAAGACAGAGACATTGAACTACTTGCAAGCAATGGAGAGCAATAGAAATAAGTTGCAGGTGAAGGAAGTTAGAAAGCTTTCTTATAACCCAATAAGGAGAAAGTTTTTCGGGCACCACCCAATGAAGAAACCTACAATCTCAGTTATATCAGAATAACTTATTTACATCTTTACTTACCGTGCAGATAATATGATGAAAGCAGCACGCAATGCCTCGTCTTTTGCATTGATTAAGATAGCTGTCGATTATAGTCACTAATACGCAAAAACAGCTTCAACCATCCCACACAAGTTGGAAAATATTTTTGCTTGCAGGCCCACTGATCACTTTTTGCTTCAACCATCCCACACAAGTTGGAAAATATTTTTGCTTGCAGGCCCACTGATCAAGTTGTTACTCTGCCTCTTAAGCATTTCCTCTTGTGCACAAACATCACCATCCTGGACAAAAAGGTGGAATGAAAAAACCAATTTAAAAAATCGATTTAACTACATGTAACTTTTGGTTTTTAAGAAGAATTACACATCACCCATCTAAAACTATACATGTTTTAGTTAGGCCAATTTGACAAGCTACGTATAAAATTCAGCTACTCAAAAATTCTCTTTTGCAAGGCCTACAAACTAGGAACCAAAAACTAATTTCGATAATTAATAATTACACCATAATGCTTCATGTACACAGCTTTGACTTAATCCAAAACACTAATAAACGTAATAGGCTAGCTAAACTCAAGATCTTAAGACTAGTGGTACAGAAGAACGTAAAAAGGAAAGGAAACCAGCATATTCAACAAAGATAGATGTATTGATGCTATTACTAAATTAAAAAATAGACCAAATGTGGAATGATATTGCAGATCATTAACTTGGATTTAGTGATGGTAAAAAAATAAAGAGAGAACTTACCAGAAGAGAATAAGCGCGAGCAAGAGAAAGCAATGTTGGATACATATCTAGAACAGCAAGGGCAATCTCCTCCGTTACTTGTGGAACCTTCAATCATAAAATGCTAAAAAATTATCACTTTTTTGCTTTTAACAAAATGACAAAACTACATGACCTAGTGTCATGCAACCATTTCTCTCACGTACACTGTCAGTCTGTCATCATGCTGTGTATAGTGTTCATTTATTTCTCCAAACAGCATTACCATAAAAGTAAACTATTCATGAATGACATAATGTGCATATAGACTTGCATAAGTATACAGATTATATGTCCTGAGTATATTTTATACCTGCATGAGTTGGACGGCAAACACATCACCAACCGTCATTTTGTCCAGCTCATCACACATTTTGATAAATTCATCAAAAGAAGGGCAAACCCCATTGCACTTTTGCTCAGGCTCCAGAGATATGTAGTATTGATTTATTGATTGGGTAAAAACACCGTACTTCCTCAATGTATCTGCTAAGCCTCTTGTTCTTTGCACATCAAACCCCTCTAAGATCTCAGTCGTGAAACAACTGTCATAACCAAATTAGATAAGTGCAATTAAATATTGTACCAAATATGGCACATTTTAATTTAAGCAGACCCCAAAATATATGATCTACAAGTCAATAGAATGAGATCGTCTGAGAAACATGAAGTGTCCAAAGGTAAGAACATTCTGCCTAGGAGATACTATCTAATAACTTGTGAGTACATGAATCCACTTTCAATAAAACAATACTTAAATAAATGTCAAAAGGTTGATTAAAGATTAAAAAACGAAAGATAGAGGATATGCAGTATTACTAACGCTGTTTTGATGCTTTCAGAAGCCTCTGAAGAATTTGGATCACCTTCCACCAGATATATCATCTTTTTAAGCCCACATCTCTGAATTATATAAGGAAAACAGAAGTAACATGTTAATGATCCTTTCTAAAACAGCTGCTAGATGCCCCTCAACGAAACTGAGGTGGAAAAGATTTACTGAATTTAAGAATAAAAACACAAAAATATAAGTGACTCCAACAGCTAGTTTTGAACATAAAACGCCTGAATCCAATTTCACAGGAGGATAGGAGTATTGGAATAATCATCATTCTGCATCTTGCCTCAAATGTGCATGATATGATAGCAATTAATGGAAGGGAAGCTTAAAGACCAGACTAAATTGCAATGTCAGTTGAGTTCTCTTATCAATAAACAAACAAAGAATGAACGAGTGCCCACTATCCTAAACCTTTATTGTACAAGAAAAAATTATCATTATTCTGGAGTTTCTTTTTCGTATATATTCCTCCATCATAGAAGCCATAAGGCAAAAAACATGGGGAAGTTAGATGTGCCAGTCGGTATACAATGAAAATATGACAAGAGTTAGTAGTGGGGTTCAGAAGTGCATACATTGCATATAAACTTATATTATAACTCACCTCCTTCGACATCTATAATCCCCATTCTCATTATGTTAAAACGTGCCATTAGTACTGAGGTTCAGAAGTGCATACCTTGCATATGAACTTATATTTACAACCTCACCTCCTTTGATATCTATAATCTACATTCTTATTATGTTGAGATACGTTATTTTACTACAACTTAAGAGGGGTACATACAGTTTTCCACAGGATAAAATGTATTTGGTTTGCCAAAATTCTCTAATGAGATCATGTTAACAAAAGTGGTGAACCAAAAGAAAAGGAATGTAGCTACAGATTGACAAATATCATTCAAATCAATCAGAAGAATGTAACACAAGGACATACAAAAGAACCATTACCACTAGTCTCATTTTCTGATCTCTGTATCTATTGTCCCTAATCGAATGTCGCAAATCATCAACTTTCTTCCTTTCAACAATAAAATCTAGAACGTATTCGCTACCGAGATCTTTATGACGAGCTATCCAAATGCCATCCCCCACAGGTAACCTTCTAACCTGTCAATGGATCAATAAAAATCATCTCAGTAAATGGATTGGTGTATGCATCAATGTGGAATACTGCAAGGCCGACGGCCTATGAACGACACATGGCACACTTAGATCGAGGTGGCAAATTTCTGCACCGAAGGTGATGGTCTTGAGTCTGAATATGAATGAATTTAATGCTTACATTATGCAACTAAATAGACCAAACCAGACTACAAAAGATGAGAAAAAATATAATGTAAACAGAGGTAAGATGAAAGTCTTCTGCTACAATGTAAACTTACATCTATCTTAATTTTGAATTCCTTACATATGTTCTCAATAATTTTCCTAGAGCGCAGCCTGTAAATAGCAATAACAAAGTATTATTAAAAAATCAGAATCAATTGTATTGGAAAATTAGTTAAGCTGCACAATACTTTAGTAACAGAAATTATTCATTTTAAAGCCTGGGGGATGAGAAATAAAATGATTTCATGATATTAATTTCCGTGCATAAGGAAAGGTGAAGAAGCTATCAGCTCCCCTAATGGCAAATCCGCTCAAGCAAGCAGGCCCATGTACAAGTCAAGTCCTAGTTGGAAATTGTCTGCTATACTTACGTGAAGTAAAACACACCAAAAACAAACATGTTCCAGCAAAAATAGTGTAGAAACAATCAATAACTTTCTTCAGTTAAACTTGTATAAGAGATTATATACCAACAAATAACTACATATATGCTAAGAAAACTGACTATTATGCTCAAAGCCTCAAACTGTACCTAAATTGTCACTAGAATCAGAAAACTTCTTATTACAACTGTACTCACCCTTGTGTAGCAAATTGTTCACGGTTATCCAGTATCAGTATCACTTCGTATACATCACCAAACTTCTCTCCAATTGCCAGAGGTGGCACTGCTAAAATATTATGCTTAGCTTTTGACCCTCTGCCAAGCTTGTTCGTAGCATAATCCTGAAAATCCCGATAGAAAAGGTATGAAGAAAAGAGCAAGCCGGTGAAACTTTCTTATTATACTCACACCTCAACCTTTTGATTTGATGAAATAAAACCAAATACTATCTAGCCAGTTAATACGCTCAAAATACCAGTATAAGACAACTACCATGTTAGGTTTCCAGTACTCGTCATTCAAGCTGTGCTCTTGCAAATCCACTATGTTTCTCATGCACATTCTATTTTTCTTACCATGGAATTTTGGTAGAGAGAAAGAGAGAGAGAGAGAGAGAGAGAGAGAGAGAGAGAGAGAATGGATACAGAAATCTATGTCAAATTAATGCTCATATCCTTCTTGTCCTATCGCACTTTGTGACATACACATTGACTATTGTTGGTACTCTCCCTCGTCCAACTCCCATTTTTCTAGAGGCAGTACAGAATGGCTAGAAAAAATAGTTTAGCCTCCTAGTTCTTCTTCCTCATCCCTTATCTTTTATTACACAATCGTGGTGCGTCCCATCTACATGACTTTTCGCCCCTTACCTCACCCCAAAGAATTATAAGTTAGAGTGTGCACCACCATGGCCAATCTGAAAAAGAACTTACAGTAGATGAGCAAGCTTTTAATGTACAAGAACTCAGCCCGAACTTTTGATTACTTGATGCAGCAACTGTACCAGATTGCTTACTCTCATCGTCATAAATGCCTGTTCGACCTGACATCAAAGGACAAAATTCTGAGCTATTAGATTAAATGCAACATATCTTCAACCTATTCTAGCAGTAATGAAGACCACTACCATCTTTATGTTGGTAAGGTGAAGGAGCAGCACCACTGACAACTCTTGCAGATTTAGTTATGGAAGTTGGAGCATAAATCTCATCTTCTCGAAGGCGACAAAGTAAAGTTAGCCAAAGTGACGATGTCTCCTTTTTTGGGGATGTTTCTTTAACCTCATTAAAAGCATGGATAATTTGCTCCCGGGAAAACCCCATTTGAAGGAACTGCCATGAAGAAGAGAATGTGAATCACATCGAAGAGCAAACATTGAGAAACAAAAACAGTAAAAATACACCTAATAATCCTGGCCCCCTTTGTAGGGGAGTCAAAATTATGAGGTGTATTTTGAATGCTTAACATACATCTTACAATCATCCAGGTGTTTAGTCCAATTATTATGTATATTTTTTTCTGTATTTTAAAGTATAACATACAGCACTAAAGCACACTGATCTGGCATTACTATCAACACAATTACTATCAATCTCCAGAATCAACATCCCAGAAATTAACCAAAGTACCAAACCATAATCAAAGATAGCAATAGTATATCATTATTTAAGAATTGGAAAAAAAAATGATAAAGTTCATATGATGTTAGGATGCAAACAAGGTTACATATACTTATTGAACAACTAATCAATATAGCTAGGCTAATTAAAAAATCTAATATATAGAAAGACTAAATAGTGATTATGCATTGTCAACTCCTACAGTAGGTTCACAACCTAAGGAAACTTGTAGAGGCACAAGTTAATTATATGGACCTTATCAAGATATTGAGGCGGCAAGTCAACTGGTATCTTTGTCATGTTTGAATTAATAGGTCCTGCTTTTTTAACTAAAACACCAGCTACACACTCTAAATCTGGTATCTCTTCTTGTATATCAACTTGGAGGGTTTCTCTTTGTTTAAAATTCGAACAATCTTCCAACACATCCAAACTCTCATCTGGATCAGTGATTCCAGATCTTAAGAGGCATTCACGTGCTACTTCCTTCCCTTCTTCGGTCAACATATACCTGCATGCACAATTATCAGAGAATTAGTGAAAACAGATATAATACATCAATGTCCATTAATATTAATACGCAGTCTTTCTGACTTGTTCCTACAAAAATATTGGTTGAGAAAATGGGAAACAAAAAATAATATCAGCCTTTCACAAGCAATAATATATATACAGTCCCAACTTATGACTTGAGAGTAAAATTGTTTTAAGGAAATCTCTTGTGGATACAATTAAATATGCTGCAGAGCACCATATGGTTTTCGCATTACTTACTATTCTCATGATTTCATAAGATAACAAACTATTGAACCAATTTATATTCTTCTATGTTCGGGTGAACACCGAATAAGGTTTCAATAAGTATTGTACTACTGCTATCAAGCAGTTACAAGAATATCAGAAATAAGTAAATGACAGCGCCACTTTGAATATATCTACAGGCCAATATCTGATTGTCAACCACTAAAAAATCATTCAAGTGAGACACAAAGTGTGCATTATATACTCTCTCTCCGCATACTATCTTCATACTTGACCATTTAGCAACAGTAGATTCAATGCTGTACCCAAGCGCAAATTAGGAAGTGATTGAGTGAGCATACTTGGCCGGGCAGCTAGACTTCACAACAAGGCCTCTAGTTATTAGCGTCTTCATGCAGCTCCATCCACTGTACCAGTCCCTTGGTGAGCTTCCAAAGTGTCCAGCTTTTCCTTTAGCCTTTTCCGGCCTATAAATAAAAGGACAGTTTTGTCAAAACTTACTTGAGTAACTAGCATACTATGGTCTTTCCTCAACTGAAACATCAAAATTACGCAATTGGCACACGAGACAATCCACTTGTTTCAGCTGCATCAATAAGTTCCTTTTTACGCATGAACTCATCCCCCTTCTGTGTCCCTCTAAAGCAAATGAAAAAGAAAATTAATGGTTATCATACTGTAAAAGTAATATTGTAAAACATGAGTTTAATAGTATAATTAAACCGCCAACCATTTACCTGAAGAGCGTGATAAGTAGGGCATAAGCAACAGAGTTTTTTTGTGGCACATAGCGCCTTGGTCCCTTTTTCTTCCCTCCTATAAGACGAAGTAGATTAACTACAGAAGACAGACGCAAGAGTGCAATAGAAAAACATATGTTTCACTCACTGAAAATATCTCTAATCAATAAAAATATGTTTGTGCTGCATAAATTACCATTTCTCGTCAAGTTATCTTCATCGGAAGAATCAGAACCTGTCTCAAAAAAACCTTGCATTTGCTTCAGAATCCACTTACCCACGCCCCTATGATCATATGTACAAGGAAAGTTCATTTTTTTCTTTTTATCCACTTTATTTTAATGTTACCCGTATTAAAATATTGGTGCAGACAACAGAAATGCTTCGTAAAATGATAGATGGTCCACTACTGAAATAATAAAATGAACTGTAATTCTCCATATGGAAACAAAAATACAAACCAAGAATTGCAGTCGTGCGAAAAGGGAAAAATCCTAATATGTATGTAAACCTTCAACACAACATAAATCTCTCAAGTATGAAACATACATGAAAAGGGAAGTACTACATAAAGTAAAGATTGATTTGTCGAAGTACAATTTAAACTACAAATGCAAGAACTAGAGGCCAACAAAAGCATTTCAACCCCACGTATGAGATTATAGACAATGTACAACTACTTGTACATATTGTGCTAGGTCTTCAACATCCTCGATGATAAAACGTAAAACGATAAAAAAAAAAATACTATCACGAATACAAGCCGACACTTAACTGATGAAACAACAAATGTTATTGAACATATTTAACCGTAAAACAAATGACACTAAGAGCACAATTTGTTGCAAGGCATTCTCACTCACTTAATTTGGGACAAATCCCTAAGGTTTCTGATTGGGGTTTTGCAATGGCAGATGTTGGTATACGCCTTGGAAAGCGTCATGTCCATGTTTTCGGAAATTCCCTTGGCACTCTGCGCCATTTCTTGCCGCTTATTCAACAGAAAAGCGGCAACTTCTTCATTCTCAGGGCACGCTGCCTTGTTATGATTCGCCATTCCCCTATCTTGAGACAATTCTAGGGTTTATGAAATCAAAAATCGGGCGGATTTGGGATTTATTTCGTTGGGGTATTTTAAAATGTAACTGTATGGATGATTATTTAGACGGAAAGTGGCGCCATGTTCCGTGATTTGAAGTTTGGATGGTAGTAGATTTGTAGGGGATGAGGAAAAAGACCTTGTTTACCGGACTCGCCTTTAATTCATACTCAAATTTTAAGGGGGCGATTGTTTATGGTTTGTACAGTAAAAAAAAATCAATCAAAACTTAAATTTAACTCAACTTTAACACAACCCTACTATTTTTCATAATAATCAATATAATTAAATAATGCAAACCAATCATTCTTACACATCATCAACTTTAATTCACTATTCATCCACTCACATAATTTTGACTAACCATCACTTTCAATTATTTTTCTCCTACTTTATATAAAATCAACTTTAATTATTTTATTAAAATATTATTTTAATATCTCCGCTAACAATTAACCATACCACCTTTTTCTAAAATTAACTATAGTTAAAAAACAAACCAAATAAAAACTAGTCGAATCCATAAACAATCACCCCCTAACTTATTATACTATTTTTATTATTATTCATATAATTAAATAACAAAAATAAATATTTCTTACATATCACATCAACTTTAGTTTACTGTTGGTCCACTCTGATAATTTTAACTACCTATCATTTTAGATAATTTCTAAGAAATTATCTCGTACTTTTATTCGATTATGGTTTTGTTGAATTGATTTTCTGACTTCAAGGGCAGACAGATGGGATTCAGTACGACACGAGTAGGTTGATGGTTTTTGCTTGGCCTGGTCTTGTCGAATTTATTTTTCGACCTTGGTGGCAGGTCGAGGGAGTTCATTCAGAGCAGTTCACGAAGTCAGGCCGTTCGGGTTCTAAGATGATATATAGCAGGCTTGAATTTTAAATTTTGAACTGGGGGCGATAGGATGAGGTAACCGGAAAGGTCTATCATTGAGCGGAAAGAGTTCGTACCAGGTGATTGAAAAAGTAGAAGATTTAAGTTCAAATTTTCAAATTCAAGACTTTGGAAGATCGGGCATATGGTTTTCGACTTCAGACTCGGTTTTCGGTTTTCGACCTCAGTGGTCTCCCGGTTCTTGGTTTTGGACCTCATCGGTGATTACTCGGTTTTGGTTTTTTCGACCTCAGTCTCTCGTTTTCGACCTCAGCGGTCTCTCGATTCTCGGCTCTTGACCTCATCGGCAGTTACTTGGTTTTCGACCTCAGTGGTTTCTCGATTCTCAGTGTTCGACCTCAGTGGTCTCTCGATTCTTGGCTCTTGACCTCATCGGTAGTTACTTGGTTTTCGACAACAGTGGTTTCTCGATTATCAGTGTTCGACCTCAGTGGTTTCTCGATTATCAGTGTTCAACCTCAACGGTCTCTTGATTCTCGGCTTTCGACCTTATCGGCGATTACTCGATCTTCAGTTTTCGACCTCATCGGCGATTACTCGGTTTTCAGTTTTTTACCTCAGTGGTCTCCCGGTTCTTGGTTTTCGACCTCATCGGTGATTACTCAGTTTTTTCGACCTCAGTCTCTCGATTCTCGGTTTTCGACCTTAATGGTCTCTCGATTCTTGGTTTTCGAGCTCAGCGGTCTCCCGGTTCTCGGCTTTCGACCTCAGCTGTCATTCAGTTTTTTGCTTCAATTTTCGACCTCAGTTGTCATCCGGTTTTTGGCTTTCGATTTTCCGACCTTTGCCGAAGGTCCTTCAATTATTTACTCAGTGAATGGTCATTCGATTTTTGACCCATTACGGTCTCCCGGTGCTCATTGGGGAGTTTTATGATTATTTGGTGATCGAGAACTTATTCAAATTATAACCGCAGTGGCAGGTTGACGGAAGCGGCTCGAAGAGACATTTCACTCTTGGATCGAGTTATGCTTACTCGACCATAGTGGGGGGGGGGACTAGATGATATAAGATATTATACTAGACCGGGTTTAATGGATAAAACGAATACATATTGGAGGATAAGCCCACGTACAGACTATGACATATAGCATAACGATATGGGCCAAGTCCAACTTGAGCCCAAAAAAGTACACTCCCCCTATAAAAGGGGGTTAAGGTATCACATTCTCTCGTTATCTATTCATTTCATTACTATACTCTCTCTCTCTCTCTCTCTCTCTCTCTCTCTCTCTCTCTCTCTCTCTCTCTCTCTCTCTTGATCGAGCACTGACTTAGGCATCGGAGGCCCGACGCCGGGATCCCTCCCTGCGTTGGGTTTTGCAGGTGTGGAGGTCGTTCGAGTTGAAGGAGACCGGGTGAATTCAATTACACTCGTATTACCATGTAAACTTAAAGGATCTAGTTCCCCACATCTACATCTTTATCTTTATCTATATAATGAATCAATTCGGTTTACTATATTTGTCACAAATTTCCGTCCTAAACATTTTGGCCAATTTTGGCAATTACAATTACGCAATAGTTTTTTTAAAAAAATCAAAATTGGTTAGGTCATATAGGAATTTGGAAATATTTATATCAATTATTGCTTTAATCAAAATTTGATCTCAAAGATTCAAAGATTCGTGAAAATCTTTAATAATTGCTTTAATAATATAGCTAGAGATATAAATTTATGAGTATAATTTTTGTTTTGATTGTGGGGTGAATTTAAAAAATTAAAAATAAACAGAAACTAACATTAAAATATAAACACACACACGCTATCAGATGTCCCAACATCTGTAGAATCCAGTGATAGCTGGACTCGCTCTTGTCCTTGATAATTGCACACACAATTAAAAAATTATTGTCGCACGGCGTCATCCCAACAATTTCCACCAGCATCCGGTACTTGTGCATAGGGCTGGGCACGGTTCGGATACTCGAGTTTTTTGAAGTATTTGCTAACCGAACCGAACCGAGCAAATATTCGAACTTGCTAACCGAAACCGAACCGAAAATCTCGGTTAACTGAATTTTCGGTTAACCGAAAAAAATCCTACTATTCGCGGATTAACCGAACCGAACCGAACCGAGTAAACCTAAGACAAATATGCTAACTTGTTTGCAAATAATAAACCGAACCGAACCGAACCGAAATAAATAAACATAATCAGCCAATCATTGATGTTTGCAAATCATAATCACAATCACAAACCATAAACCATCCATGTTTGTAAATAATAATCCACAAACAACAACCAACAGGTATAGTGCAAATCACAAATCATCCCACAAAAGTTAAATATAATCTCCAGCAAATCATTAATCATCCCTACAAGTTCATACTTCATCATCAAACAAGATACTAAAGGATTGGGACTGTTCCTTTTCGGGCAAAACCCGCTTGATGAAATGCTCCAAAGCTGGAAATTTTCTTCAGACATTCTGTTGGCGGGTCTTCTTGATGATGGGTGCCCTTTTGGTCTTCTGGGTGTTTATGAGCTAATACACAATCAATGATATCACCATCTGGGCTCTGTGCAACAAAATTAATAGTGTACAAAAAAGCAAGGAAACAACAGGACAAAAAAAAAATGAATAAATAATAATAATGAATGAATAAGAAAATTTAAACTTGCCCGAATTGATTAAAATGTGTTTGCCCCTCAATACTACAAAAGTCAGAACTACCCCTAACATTTGTAGTATTGATTAGAGAGAAAATTCTAAGGGTATTTTGGTAAAAAACCTAAAATATAAATTGATCATTTACCTTAATGAAAATCTTCAAGACTAGT